AGACAAAAGTGTATGTCATTGTGCTGTTTTCTCATGACTTAAACTTCTCCTCGCCCAGTTTTAAAAAGGCATCCGCTTAGTTTCTTCCACCTGCCTGATGAGTCAGTCTTATCTCGCCGGTGCTCTTGCAGTACACCGCATTAAAGACTCCCTCTATTGCTGATAAGACTCCTTCACGCCCAGCTGCGCTGCCATTACGCTCCATGCGAAGTCGCAGCAGGTCTTTTCAATGCCGCTTTAAGACGTCAAGTTTTAACGCCAATTTAAATGAGAGGGGATTATTTCAACTCATGCAAATGGAAATCAAACGGCCTATTTAAGCCCTTCACAGCTGAGGAAGATTTATGTGGAACCTATTACTCGCTTAAAGAAGCATTCAATTCCTTAAGTTACAAATCCTTACTGGCTGCATTTGCATGTGCACATTCCCAATATGGGGTTTATAATGTTCTGTAAGTGGTTTTGGATTATCCCAAATGCTCATAAAGATGTGTGGCATTATTTAAATCGTTTTCTGCAGGTGAGAACCATTTCTCGGCCAGCCACCAGCCATTCCTGTACTTCCAGGTGCTTTTCCTGACTGCACAGTTTGAGGCGGCTATAGCGTTCCTTTTCCGAGTGGAGCGTCTGCGCAGCCATGCCGTTCACGTAGCTCTGGTGCTGTACGAACTCAAACTGCTGCTCAAATCATCGGGCCAGAGCGCACAACTCTGTAAGTTCTCATCAATAAGTGATAACTCAAAATTGTATCTGGTTTCTGTTCTAAAGAGGTTTTTGGTCTTTTATCAGTGAGTCAAGAAGCTGGAGATCCTCCAATGGTGCGAAGGCTCAACTTCATCAGGCTGCTTATGCTCTACACCCGCAAGTTTGAGTCCACAGACCCACGAGAGGCCCTGCAGTACTTCTACTTTCTCCGGTAATGGTCGTCCTAACCCCAGCTGATTGGGTCATTTAGGGTAACATACTAAAAGAGCACAACACACCAGACCTGTTCTAAAATCAGCTTGTTTCCTGTTTGATCAGTGGCTGAACTATAAGTCATGTCTTTTTCTCTGAAAATACTGAGCAAAATCCCTCTCTGAGAAGAGATTAATGTGTCATGAATAACTCAGAACCTTCCACGAATGATCCATGAATAATTAAACCTGTTCCATGGACACTGAATTCGATGCTAACTCGACCCATTGTTTTAAGAGACCTCACAGGCACCGTTACAAAAAGGAAACGGTTGATCTTCTAAAGGTCTCTTATCTCGGGGTTTGCATGCATATCACAAAGCGAACACATTCCTTTGCAGGCCCAAGTGCTTTCCTGCTACAAATGGCATAATTGCTGTACTTCACTGAGTGAAAACTCACATTCACTGTCTTCTGATTGGCCACAGGAATGAGAAGGACAGTCAAGGAGAAAACATGTTCATGCGCTGTGTCAGCGAGCTAGTCATCGAGAGTCGGGAGGTAAGAAACGTGTGCGAGCTCATTGGAGGAAGCGTTTCTGCATACTAATTGCTATTATTATTGCATAATATCTGTCAATACTTAACTCTCTTCCTGTAGTTCGATATGCTTCTTGGAAGACTCGAAAAAGATGGAAGCAGAAAGGTATGTTGGAGGCTTTTGTAATATCACCTGACTTGCAGACAGTGAGCATGCTACTGTTCTTTCACAGTAACTCACTTGTTCGTTTATTTTGTTTGTTCAGTCTTGCATGGTTGTGTAGAATGTGCTATTGTCTCAAAGGCCTTTGCAACACAGTCTGGCCTTTCATGCTCAAAGCAATTTGACAACACCATTGTGCATTCAGAGTCTTCATCAGCTCTAAGCAGTGTTTGTTTGAATCCCTTCAGCCCGGCGTGATCGACAAGTTCGCTGGAGACACGCGGGCCATCATTACCAAGGTGGCCTCAGAGGCTGAGAACAAGGGGTTGTTTGAGGAGGCCGTCAAACTGTACGAGTTAGCCAAGGTAAGATAAGTAGTGACATGACGTTGGGTTGATTAGTCTCATGATGATTGTGCCTAAAGCATCTTTTTTTTCCTGCATTAGAACGCTGATAAGGTTCTGGAGCTGATGAACAAATTGTTGAGTCCAGTTATCGCTCAAGTTAGCGAGCCCCAGTCCAACAAAGAGCGACTCAAAAACATGGCAGTGGCTATTGCTGAACGGTGAGCACAGACCTTTTTAAACTATGAAAGCCATTTTCTGTGTAAAGTACAAAAAAAATATTTATCTAACAATTGCGACTTTATTTCTCATAATTGATCATAATCCCAACTTTGTTTCTCACTACAGAAATTCATCTCATTATTGCAACTTTATATTTCACAATGTGACTTAATATTGCCCAAATTGTGCCTTTATATCTCTCAAATGTGACTTAATAGGTTGCAGTGGAGACTCTATATCTCTGAATAATGGCTTGACCTCTTTTAATTGCAACTTCACATCTCACAATTGCAACAATATATCTTCCAGTTGTGAACTGTTGCAACTTTATAACTGTTGCAATTTTACTTCTTGCAGTTGCAACTTTATATTTCACAATTGAAACTATAACTACCAATTGCAATTCCATAGATCACAGTGTCTTTATTTCTCAGTTGCAATTTGTCAATTGTGACTGTATATCTTGCATTATTACAACTTTGCCTCCTAATTGCAACTTTATACAGTATCTCACCATTGTGACGTTACATCTTGAAACTGCAACTTTATTTCTTGTAATAATGATTTGTATCTTCCGAATGCATCTTTATTTCTTGCAAAGTGACTTTCTTGTAATTGTTACATTATCTCGCAAATGTAACTTTATTTTTTTTTTTAAATATTATCTCACAATTACTTTAAGTTTGAGGCAGAAACAGGCATCCATCATCAAATGGTTTCTTGTATTTCTTGAGCACAGGTACCGTACTAACGGTATAGCTGGGGAGAAGTCTGTGGACAGCACCTTCTACCTGCTTCTGGATCTCATGACGTTCTTTGATGAGTACCACGCCGGCCACATAGACCGAGCCTACGATGTAAGTCACCTATAAGACCCCTGCTGACCTTGGGCACATGCTGTCAGGCATTAATCTTTATTTTTGTGCCATTCTGTGTCAGGTGATTGAGAGGCTAAAGCTGGTTCCCTTAAGTCAGGACAGTGTGGAGGAGCGGGTTGCTGCATTCAGAAACTTCAGCGATGAGGTAAGAGATCTGAAAACATTAGCATAAATCACCTACTTGCTTTTATTTCAAATGCTAAGCTGTTGTCGTTTCAGGTGACCCCAAATTAATACGTCTTTTCAAATCTTTGCTTTTTGGTTGAGTTGACTAAAAACTGTATTTTTACAATATTAAAAACTGACTACACACTGTCTGTATAATTTTGAAAAACTGTTCTTTTTTTAATTCCCAGAATGGAGACATTTATTAACATGACATTCTCTCCATTGTGTCCTAATCTTTTCACAGATAAGACACAATTTGTCAGAGGTTCTGTTGGCCACAATGAATATCCTGTTCACACAGTACAAGCGTCTAAAGGGGGCTGCAGCAGGTACGCCGGGAAGACCTCAGCGTACCCTAGAGGACAGAGACATGGTAAAACATATTTTCTAAGTTAAAATTATTGCTTATTCAACTATAAAGCTAACCCTGAGTGTGAGTCCATTATTCACTGGACATTGGACACACATTGTGACGATACATGTTAATTGTGATTAGCTCTTCTCAAGTGTGTGTGTGACTACCGGCGGTTGCATTTGTCTACTTTCTCTGCAGCTGCTGCGCAGTCAAGCCCGGGCTCTGATCACGTTTGCGGGAATGATTCCGTATCGGATGGCTGGAGATACCAATGCCAGACTGGTTCAGATGGAGGTCCTAATGAACTGAAACCCCCCCCCCCCCCCTTCTCCAGCAGCGGTCTTTCATTGTCCTCATTCCATCATTACTTTTGTCAACTTATATTTGTATTTTTTCCCATTATTTGAAATAAAATAAAAAAATGAAATTGAGATCAATTTTGTTTCAATTTCATTTCTTATATCGTAACCCTTTTTTTTTTCTTTCTTTTTTTTTTTAAGTTTTTTTATTTGATGTGACATTTTGTCCTGCATTTTCTGTTTATTTGATTACATTTCAGTTGCAAATCAATTTAATTTTAAATGCCATAGTGTCATATAAAAGCTATATGAAACTAATCAAATACACTATTACAGCTTATCACTCATGAAATTCAATATCAATTCAATATGAAATCCAGTGCAAACAATCAATGTGCACATGACATGACAATAGCATTCTTTATTATGTCATTAACAGTAAGATTAGCCACTTTGGTGGATTTGGTGGCAGCCAACAATCTGTGTACTGTATATACAGGGTTCTCACAGAAAAACCTTCCGGGGTCAGAGCGTACTATACATTTGACTAGTTATGAGTTGTTCTGAAATATTTTATTGACTACACATTGTTGTTGATAGAGCTTGTGTAGTGTAAAACACCAAATGTAGTGATTTGTGAGCAATTCTTTCTATTAAGGGAAGCACTTTACAAATTGTCCCCATTAGTTAATGCATTAACTAACACTGAGCAATACATTTGTTACAGTATTTATTCATCTGTTAACATTAGTTAATAAAATACAACTCTTGGTTATTAGTTCAGGTCCATTAAATAATATTAACAGACAACTTTTAATTTTAATAATGAAATTAGCATTAAGATGAATAAATGATTTGGAAGATTTCTTCATTGTTCATCTTCAGTGTATGTTAACTAAATGCAATTAACTAAAGACTTTTATTAAATCATTCAAATTGCTTCACAAGATCAATCCGTTCACAAATCAGCCTGAATCAAAAATGACAAAGTTCATGGAAATGATCAAAACGAGAAGCCTGTTTATTTTTTTGCCTGTGTTTTAGTTGGCTCATACTTTATTCATTAAAATGTATATTGTGTAACACAAACCTACTGTACAAACAAGTGGCCGGACAGTTTGTTTGTTCAGTCTTGCATGGTTGTGTAGAATGTGCTATTGTCTCAAAGGCCTTTGCAACACAGTCTGGCCTTTCATGCTCAAAGCAATTTGACAACACCATTGTGCATTCAGAGTCTTCATCAGCTCTAAGCAGTGTTTGTTTGAATCCCTTCAGCCCGGCGTGATCGACAAGTTCGCTGGAGACACGCGGGCCATCATTACCAAGGTGGCCTCAGAGGCTGAGAACAAGGGGTTGTTTGAGGAGGCCGTCAAACTGTACGAGTTAGCCAAGGTAAGATAAGTAGTGACATGACGTTGGGTTGATTAGTCTCATGATGATTGTGCCTAAAGCATCTTTTTTTTCCTGCATTAGAACGCTGATAAGGTTCTGGAGCTGATGAACAAATTGTTGAGTCCAGTTATCGCTCAAGTTAGCGAGCCCCAGTCCAACAAAGAGCGACTCAAAAACATGGCAGTGGCTATTGCTGAACGGTGAGCACAGACCTTTTTAAACTATGAAAGCCATTTTCTGTGTAAAGTACAAAAAAAATATTTATCTAACAATTGCGACTTTATTTCTCATAATTGATCATAATCCCAACTTTGTTTCTCACTACAGAAATTCATCTCATTATTGCAACTTTATATTTCACAATGTGACTTAATATTGCCCAAATTGTGCCTTTATATCTCTCAAATGTGACTTAATAGGTTGCAGTGGAGACTCTATATCTCTGAATAATGGCTTGACCTCTTTTAATTGCAACTTCACATCTCACAATTGCAACAATATATCTTCCAGTTGTGAACTGTTGCAACTTTATAACTGTTGCAATTTTACTTCTTGCAGTTGCAACTTTATATTTCACAATTGAAACTATAACTACCAATTGCAATTCCATAGATCACAGTGTCTTTATTTCTCAGTTGCAATTTGTCAATTGTGACTGTATATCTTGCATTATTACAACTTTGCCTCCTAATTGCAACTTTATACAGTATCTCACCATTGTGACGTTACATCTTGAAACTGCAACTTTATTTCTTGTAATAATGATTTGTATCTTCCGAATGCATCTTTATTTCTTGCAAAGTGACTTTCTTGTAATTGTTACATTATCTCGCAAATGTAACTTTATTTTTTTTTTTAAATATTATCTCACAATTACTTTAAGTTTGAGGCAGAAACAGGCATCCATCATCAAATGGTTTCTTGTATTTCTTGAGCACAGGTACCGTACTAACGGTATAGCTGGGGAGAAGTCTGTGGACAGCACCTTCTACCTGCTTCTGGATCTCATGACGTTCTTTGATGAGTACCACGCCGGCCACATAGACCGAGCCTACGATGTAAGTCACCTATAAGACCCCTGCTGACCTTGGGCACATGCTGCCAGGCATTAATCTTAATTTTTGTGCCATTCTGTGTCAGGTGATTGAGAGGCTAAAGCTGGTTCCCTTAAGTCAGGAGAGTGTTGAAGAACGGGTTGCAGCCTTCAGAAACTTCAGCGACGAGGTAAGAGATCTGAAAGCATTAGCATAAATTATCTACTTGCTGTTATTTCAAATCCTGAGCTGTTGTCGTTTCAGGTGACCCCAAATGTTAATACCTCTTTTCAAATCTTTGCTTTTTGGTTGAGTTGACTAAAAACTGTATTTTTACAATATTAAAAACTGACTACACACTGTCTGTATAATTTTGAAAAACTGTTCTTTTTTTAATTCCCAGAATGGAGACATTTATTAACATGACATTCTCTCCATTGTGTCCTAATCTTTTCACAGATAAGACACAATTTGTCAGAGGTTCTGTTGGCCACAATGAATATCCTGTTCACACAATACAAGCGTCTAAAGGGGGCTGCAGCAGGTACGCCAGGAAGACCTCAGCGTACCCTAGAGGACAGAGACATGGTAAGACACATTTTCTAAGATAAAATGATTGGTTAATCAACTATAAAGCTAATAGTCCATTATTCACTGGACACACACTATGATGATACATGTTAATCCTGATTAGCTCTTCTCAAGTGTGTGTGACCACCTGCGGTTGCATTTGTCTACTTTCTCTGCAGCTGCTGCGCAGTCAAGCCCGGGCTCTGATCACGTTTGCGGGAATGATTCCGTATCGGATGGCTGGAGATACCAATGCCAGACTGGTTCAGATGGAGGTCCTAATGAACTGAAACCCCCCCCCCCCCTTGACCCTTCTCCAGCAGCTCTCTTTCATTGTCCTCATTCCATCATTACTTTTGTCAACTTATATTTGTATTTTTTCCCATTATTTGAAATAAAATAAAAAAATGAAATTGAGATCAATTTTGTTTCAATTTCATTTCTTATATCGTAACCCTTTTTTTTTTCTTTCTTTTTTTTTTTAAGTTTTTTTATTTGATGTGACATTTTGTCCTGCATTTTCTGTTTATTTGATTACATTTCAGTTGCAAATCAATTTAATTTTAAATGCCATAGTGTCATATAAAAGCTATATGAAACTAATCAAATACACTATTACAGCTTATCACTCATGAAATTCAATATCAATTCAATATGAAATCCAGTGCAAACAATCAATGTGCACATGACATGACAATAGCATTCTTTATTATGTCATTAACAGTAAGATTAGCCACTTTGGTGGATTTGGTGGCAGCCAACAATCTGTGTACTGTATATACAGGGTTCTCACAGAAAAACCTTCCGGGGTCAGAGCGTACTATACATTTGACTAGTTATGAGTTGTTCTGAAATATTTTATTGACTACACATTGTTGTTGATAGAGCTTGTGTAGTGTAAAACACCAAATGTAGTGATTTGTGAGCAATTCTTTCTATTAAGGGAAGCACTTTACAAATTGTCCCCATTAGTTAATGCATTAACTAACACTGAGCAATACATTTGTTACAGTATTTATTCATCTGTTAACATTAGTTAATAAAAATACAACTCTTGGTTATTAGTTCAGGTCCATTAAATAATATTAACAGACAACTTTTAATTTTAATAATGAAATTAGCATTAAGATGAATAAATGATTTGGAAGATTTCTTCATTGTTCATCTTCAGTGTATGTTAACTAAATGCAATTAACTAAAGACTTTTATTAAATCATTCAAATTGCTTCACAAGATCAATCCGTTCACAAATCAGCCTGAATCAAAAATGACAAAGTTCATGGAAATGATCAAAACGAGAAGCCTGTTTATTTTTTTGCCTGTGTTTTAGTTGGCTCATACTTTATTCATTAAAATGTATATTGTGTAACACAAACCTACTGTACAAACAAGTGGCCGGACAGGGAATGTTTAGAGCCCTTTCAGAGAGTTATGAGAGCAGGAATGTGTCTGTGTGACATTGATTCTGTCAGCAGATGGTGGGTTATGGAGGAAATGCCCGTAGAGCACACAGATGGACGTGCTGGCTTTGTCACGGCTGGCTGCAGTGTCTGCTCCAGCTCCATCTAAGCTCTGCTTTGCATTTTTAACCGTTAGCATCTGGAGCTGCTGCATTAATATTGGAGTGCACTGTCCTAAATTCAAGGTACTGGATGCACAACAATCAGGCTGTTTCAACTTTATTTCAACCTTTGAACAAAAGCTATTCCTCAAAGACAAATCTTGTCCTTGCATAATTTTTTTATTAAGTTTTCCAGCATCAGTACATCACACGCGTCAAATAGGAACTCCATTTGTTTTGGAACCTGGAGAAGAAGATCTGGAGGAAAAAGATTCATCTTCACACCTCCTGGACTGGTGTGTGTGCTGCAGCTGGTGTTGTGAATCAGGCCGATGTCACACGTCCGCGATAACCCGGCTATTTCACAACACCAGGGTGGCACCACACCGCTGCCAACAAAGGAGCTCTACCTAACAAATCATCCATCCCCTTCACAGAACTGACCTCTGTGTACATACTGTATGTACTGTAATGTATTATCCTCATTTAAAATACAGTGGTTCTTTGAAATAAAACGTTACAACTAAAATGAAGATTCTAATTTTTAATGTGTGTGAAATATTATTACTATTTAAAGTAACTGTTTTCTATTTTAAATGTAATTTATTCCTGCGATGGCAAAGCTGAATTTTCAGCAGCCATTATTCCAGTCTTCACATGATCCTTCTGAAATCATTCTAATATGCTGAACTGGTGATCACTGTAAAAAAATACATAGTTGAGAAAACGTAAAAAAAAAAAAAAATCTACTTGATGCATTAAGACTTCTGAGTTCTCTCAACAATAGTATTTTAGTTCTTCTCAGTAAAGAGACTTTGTTTAAATTGTCTTATTTTGCTAATAGGAAAATTCTTGTCACAGCATCTGAAACATCAATTAATGACGTTGAAGGTAATTTATTTTCTTCTGTTTCCTGGAAGACAAAACGAATGTTTAAAAAGTCACCACATTATTGATTTTAGATTTATTTATTTACGAATGATAAACCTTAAAGTGGTCATATGATGTTGCTAAAAGGAACATTATTTTGTGTGTTTGGTGTAATGAAATGTGTTTATGTGGTAACTGAGTCTTATATGTATACAACATTGTCTTTGCTTGTAATTCAACTTACAAGACTAACATATTCAAGCTAACGGCCATTAATGGCTCAACATTCTCTAGGCCTCAAAACTAGACACACAAACCTCAAGAACAGTGGCAACCAACAAATATTAAAAAGATGAGCTTTTTACATCACAGTGAAGATAGAAAAGAACAAATAACTAACAATAATGACAAAACAACAAGAAAAAAGTTTAAATTAAGTCAGCAAACAGCAAAACAATAATCCTATAACAGTAACTGCATAATTTATTCATGCTGCAATGCATGCTAGGAACTCACAAAGCCTTAAAATGTCAACAATATGAAATTCTTTGTTCAGACAACTGTGACTAATTGGGACAACATTTGGGGTAATTTTGTTAGTCTGACAAAGGTTTTTATGTAGTTTCAAGAAAATAGCATTTTTTAGTATTTGAGACTCAAAAGGTTTCGTAACCTGGAAAATGTGCAGTTGCATTTTTTATAGTGTGATCAAGAAACAGTTCTTATTAATGTTGGAAACAATTGTGCTGCTTGCTTATTTATTGATTGATTGATTTATAACCATGATACATTTTTAAGATTCTTACATGTACATGAGTAGAAAGTTCAAAAGAATAGCATTTATTTAAAATATAATTATTTTTGTAACAATGTCGTTACTGTCACTTTTGATCAATTTAATGCATTATTTCTGAAAAATAAACTTTTGTATATTTTGCATTATTTTTCTTAATTTATATTTATTCATTACAAATTATCATCATAAGAGGACTGTCCATCTTATTTAATATGTACATGCAATTGTTAAAAATTACATTAGGTTTTATCAGATTAAATCCATTTTTTGATGTCATTAGTATGATTTTATGTAATATGAAAATTTGGCTGTGGTTCCTACAGTAGACCCAGTGTAATTTCAATTTAAACCACTTTATACAGTCTTCTACTCCTTGTTCTGACAGCTCCCCTCAGGCAGCATGAGGATTTCAAAATGACCATTTAGTAGCTGGTTTTCTGCTTAAGCTCTTGGTGTCTAATAATAGAAATTTAATCAAAAAAGCACCTGTGGGTACGTTTGTAGGATCTGCGCTAATTACACTGAAAAGGCTCTACCTTCGGGGCTTCCAGACCAATTTCTGCAGAAATAATTACTTAACCCAATGCTGCTCCCTGGGTCACATGCATTGGCGGACATCGGTCTTTTAGTTAATGGGGAACTGTTTCTGCAATGATCAGTCAACGCTTAAGGCAAAAGGCTGTCAGTTGGAACGACTGTGATCTGCTGGCAGGTTAAAGTGGCTAAAATGAAGGTCACTACGGGTTGGACAATTCTCTGATCAAGACAAATACACTGTCTCAGTCAATATCGTTTTTGGTTACGCTTTATTTTAAGGTGTCTTGTTGCACTGTAATTATACATTTAAGCACTGAGTAATATTAATTAACATGGACTTACTATAGGGTTAGGGTAGGGTTTGGTTTAGGGTTAGTTGAATTTACTGTTATTATTAAAGTAAGTGCATGTGACGTAACAAGGACACTGTAAAATAAAGTGTTAATATGTATCTCAATCAAACAAAAGTCATTGTTCAGAAAGTTTTCCCGGTATTGTAATTTGTCCTGATTGCTATCAGAAAAAAAGAAAAAAACACTACTATATTGTCAGAGGTGAAAAAACAAAACTTAAAACTAAACTAAACTAAACTAAACTAAATTTTAAATGACATTTTAAATTAAATTAAATTAAATTAAATTAAATTAAATTAAATTAAATTAAATTAAATTAAATTAAATTAAATTAAATTAAATTAAATTAAATTAAATTAAATTAAATTAAATGATTGACAATGACTATTCACAATGTTTTTTCCCCAAAGAAATTTGTAATGTATTGTTTCTTATGCATGACACAGGACTCTCAAAACCTGCAGTTGTCCTTGAGAACCAGTGTCAAGGATATCTGACCTGAGATCTGAGTCATTACATGTTCTGATGTTGTTTACAAGCCCCAGTACAAGCAAAAGGCCCTGCAGCCACAATTACGAATTAATGACCTTTACAAAAGCTCCTGAATATGTTCTCACACTAATCATACATCCATAAGTGGTTCCTTCCGGCTCAGGTATAATATAACCCTTCTAATCAAGCCCTTGCTTTACTCAGACGGCTGTTGATTTAGTAGTGTTGGAGGTACTGCAGGCCAAGGAAGGGATGAACCTCACAACCGCCAGAAGCCCTTTCTCAGTCTCTTCGTTGAGCAATGGAGATGACCGTAAATTCAGTTTGGGGGGATGTAGCAGTTATGATACCGACAGCGTGGCCTCCCGCAGCTCTGGAGTCTTTTCTGGATATGACACCTTGGATACTCCGCCGAGTTATGACTTCTATACCAACACTGAGGTTTTTGGGAGAGCAAAGAAGTCAAGACCTTCTCTCTTTCAGCTTCACTCCAACCCACAGGTAGGAATGACATAAAACTGACATAAAGTTTTTCCTTAGAAATTTCACAAATAAACATATTAAGAATGCTGAAGAATGTCAGTGAGTATACTTCCAGATAAAAGTAAATGTTGATAAGCTTCATTAGAATTTAATAGGATACGATTTATTCTAAACATATTCAAATAAATAAATCTTCGATCCAGAACTCTTTTCCACTAGCTCATATAAGTTTTGTCTCAGGACGACCCTTCTCCACCTCCTCTCTATGAGGAGTCAAGTGTGGACAAAGAGAGTCCGGATGAAGATGAACCCACAGAACCTCC